AGGCCTCGGAAGCGGGCGCCCGCCAGCCGGCAGCTCCCCAGTCTGCGGGATGAAGGCAAACAGGGATGTGGGGTTTGAGCTGCCGGTTGGTGAGATGCTCCGGATGGGAAGGAGGGAACGTCGGCCATCCCCACGGCTCCTTACCGCAGCGTCCGCAGCTGGCAGTTGCGGCGCTGGAGCCCCTCGCACAGCAAGTGCACGCCGGCATCGCGCAGCCCCTCGCTGAAGGATAAATCCAGCTCCTCCAGGCACGGGCTGGTGCCCAGCATGGCGGCGAGGTCCTCGCAGCAGGCGCTGGTGAGGCGGGAGTACCACAGCCTGTTGGAGATCCACGGGAAAGACCCTCAGAGTCAGCCCGAGTTCCCCCCTCAGCACCACCCCACCATGGTGCCGGTCCCCACCGCGGTGCCACTGCTTTTGAGCTCCTCACTCTGGGACAGAGGGATGATGCCACTCCGGAGAGACTTTTTGGGGTACCTCCCTTGTGCTCCATCCCGGGGGTTTGGGTGCCTGGGAGATGGCTTGGGGGAGAAGCACCGCTGTTTGGGTTATGCTGAGGGGATGCCCAGGGATGCTGGGGGGATGCTGGGGACACTCACCGCAGGACGCGGAGCCGGCAGCCGGGCTGCTGCAGCCCCTCGCAGAGCAGACGCACGCCGCCGTCACCCAGCGCGCCGTCGCCCAGCTCCAGCCGGGCCAGGCTGGGGTGCTGTGCCAGAAGTGCCGCCAGCTCCGCGCAGCAGCTCTCCGACAGCCCGCACCACCGCAGCCTGCGGGGAGAGCCGCAGAGAACGGATCAACTCATCACATCTGCCCTGGCTGCCCACCACCCTCCTCCACCTCCCCCCCCCCAGCCAATCGGCATGGAGGGACCACACCCACCCACCACACAGCAAATCAGTGTGGAGGGACCACACCTATGCTTAGCGCAGCCAATCAGCATGGAGGAACTGCACCCCCTCCATCCACTGCAGGGCCAATCGGCATGGAGGGACCACACCCACCCACCATATGGCCAATCAGCATGGAGGAACTGCACCCCCTCCATCCACTGCAGGGCCAATCGGCATGGAGGGACCACACCAGCCCATGGCCAATCAGTATGGAGGGACCACACCCATCCCCCATATGGCCAATCAGCATGGAGGAACTGCACCCCCTCCATCCACTGCAGGGCCAATCGGCATGGAGGGACCACACCAACCCATGGCCAATGGAGTCCCCACACCGGCAGCAGCACCACCGCTGCCGTCTGGGCTCAGCGTGGCGGGCAGGTCTCTTACCGGAGTGCCTGCAGGTTGGTGCCCCGGTGCTGGAGCGCCCGGCAGAGCGGGTGGATTGGGGCCTGCTGCTCCTCCTGCCGCCACCGTTCAGCGAGGGGACGGGGACGTCCTCCAGCTCCCGAGGCACCGGAGCTGCAGGGGGACAGAGCCATGGGGGTCACAGGTAGCCCTCACCCTCACTGGGAGGTCCAGGCTTGGATGCCGGCACACAACTTCCCACCACCTCCCCCGAGCAGAGCTTGCCATCAGCTCGCAGGAGGTGTCCTCAGGAGGGACCTCCATGGCTTTGGAGATGGGAAGGATCCCAAGCGTTACTGGTGGAGTTACACTGCTCTCGGCCAAAGCTCGGGGTGTAAGTAGAATCTCAGCACTGGAGATCTCCCCTTTGTGTGCGAGAAGGGGGACATGAAGCCAAACTGATGCCCAGACTCAGAGGAGCTTTTTTGGGCTGGGGAGGTTGAGCTGAGATGCTCCACCTCCATCAATCCCACTGCAGGCAGCGGATGGAGGAGCCCGCATGAGCCTTATTCTCCCACAATTCTCCCTGCGAAAAAGTAAAATCCTCTGCTGAGGAATTAAACTCCCAAGGAAAGGACAAGCTCGTCTTTGGGTGGAAGGAGCTGAAATGCCTTTAAAATTATCCTTTGGGGCAGTGAAGGAGAAATCGTTGTGATTTTGGGTTGCTAGAGCAGAATGGGGCAGTACTTACTGAGGCACCGCCGCGTCCAGGTCCTCCCCAAGATCCTGTTGGAGGAAGGAGCATCCCTGGAGGGTGACGCAGCTCAGCCCACCCCACTGCCTGATGCAGAAGGAAAGAGCCATTTGGTCGTACAGGGTCAACTTGATGTCCTGCAAGTCTATGTCGGTGAAATGACCCAACGCACTTTGCACGAAGCTTTTCTCGTTCATCTCGAACAAAAAATGGAAAGTGTCCAACTCTGTAACCTTTAGCGCTTGGCTGGGATGGGAGATGCCTCTATGCCTCTCCTGAAACCACCTCAGCATGTCTTCCCTGGCTCGTGGTGAAATTCTGCACCCAATGGTTTCATCCACATACTCTATCGATTTTTGGCTTACCAGACCAAACAGAAACCGCACCGTTAAGTTCAAATCCTTCCTTGACTCACTATAGCTTTTTAACAGCATATTTACATCTTTTGTGAGAGCCTCCGAGTCGCCAACCATTTCTTCATCATCCTCCAGAACGTAAAACATCGCCGCAAAAAACTCCTGGAGGTGCAGGTGGGTGAAGCTATAGACGTTCCCATGGCCAACGCCCTTCTTTGAGATCTTCTCGTTGAGGAAGAGAGGGAGAAGGTCTGGCTGGTCCAAGCCACGGGCCTTGATTTCCTTCTCCTCAAAGAGGACCTTGTGCTTCCAGACGCCGTCGGCAGCCAAGGAGCAAAGCTTGTGTAGGAACCACTGGAGGTCCTGCGGGTTGTCCCTGCCTCTGCACTGCATTAACCGGGAGAGGTAAAACACACTCATCCGTGTGGTGGCTTTAGAGCACTCAACGAGGTTTTTCTTCTTGTAAAGCTCTTGTTCAAGGATGGTGCAGACGGTCCAGCTCATGACAGGGATGATGCACAAATTGTAGAGGATCTCGTTGCCTCTGACAAACCTGAAGGCCACATCAGCTTTATTGTCATCCTCAAAATACCTGTGGAAATACTCCTCCCTCATGGCTGCCGAAAATCCCAGTATTTCCGCGTAATATTCACCCTCCAGGCACCGCCCCAGGCTTTGAAGAGCCGTCGCCCTTGTGGTGATGAGCAAGGAGGACTCGGGGAGGACAGTCTTCTTCAACAAGCTCATCAGGGTGGTTTCCAGCGGCTTCACTTCCCTGGGGTCAGAGCTCAGCTCATCTTTGGGCTGAACCAAGGAAAATCCCAGGGCCTCAAAGCCATCAAAAATGAACAGG